TGGGAGGGCACTGTGACCAGGAGTAGAATACCAACAAAAAAAACAGCAGCCCTAATTGGGGGTAGCCCCAATTAGATTATTTGTCCCTGGGGTTGTGGGGGGGGTGGGGGTCCCAAGCTCTCATTACACAGGACCACCGGGAAATTTGCCGAAGTTCCTGATGGCCAGTCCGAACTTTAAAACAAATGCGCAAGTGCTGCATGTTAGATACGTTTAACATTAGAAGTAGTTTGAAAAAACACGAACTAAGGCATGAATGGTTTTAACCTCAGTTCTTGGAATGGCGACTGACCTGCTAGCCGCAATTCCTCACAGTCACAGACGACTCCTACAAATGACAAGCGCCAGCTAAAACGGACTCGCCTTAAACGCACATTTATGAGACTTGCTTTGTGCACTGTGGCCTGGCAAGCTTGGAAATATCCATGCAGTGAAACCTACAGATTCCAGGTTGTGCTCAAACTCAAATTCCAGATTATCTTCCATTAGCTCAGTTACAAGCTTTAGATTAAACGAGTGAAATCTGTACGACAGGCCTGACACTGAGCGTCTCAGCAGTGATCATAGAGTAACGCACAGTGTGGATTATCAGCACCGCTATGCTGTACAGACAGATTAATAAACGGCATCAGGCGTCAGGGAGCAGCTCCCGGGCCTCCGGAGGGAAGCCTTCACAGGCTGGGAGGGAGCAGGCTGTCACCTTGTAATGTGGGGGGGGGGGGGCAGCTTGCTGATGTCAGCTTGCTGATGTCAGACAGCATCACACTGCTGTCTCCAGCCAGCCAGCCAGATCCAGCCCCCTCCAAGGCTTGAGACACTAGCGGAGGTTTAGAGGAGGACGAAGGGCCTGACTCTCACTGCGCCAGGCCGCGCCGGGAGTCAGACGCGCGACATGCCATGGGAGGGCGACGCTCCACATGACACTAACATCACCACTGGACCTCGGCTCTTCTGGGTGAGCAGTGTGGCTCGACTTGGAAAGGAGTGCGTGAACAAGCTCACTGCACCTTATGGAGGAAATGCCCCAGTGCATTCTGGGACTTGCTGCCACTCAGATGAGGAGCTGATATTAGGGTTCAGGATGCGTTTGGAGGTATCGGCTGCTCATTCGAGGCCCTGTGGCCTGAGAGACCGTCACGCTGCAGGGACCCAGTTCCAGCTCAGAACATCTGGACTGTTTTCTAACACCATTTAAGGGGCTCATGGAACCTATTAAACCTGTAAAAACTGTGTCATTAGCCCACTACATCTGGCTTTTTTAAATGACACAATTCAATCACCTGACCCCGACTTCATTATCTTTATCTCTAATCTAATTATACTGACCCAATTTATCTAGTTTTAGCCCAGTTCTGACATGTGGAGCCCCCATCTCCACAAATCAGCCCCAGAATGAAGACTGGCTTCAGCTTCACCCTCCCCGGGACGGCTGGGGGTCCAGCCACACTGATCATTCATCACAGACGACAGAGAACCTGCAACAGCGATAAATACATAACTGAGGAGCATTATGAGCAGGGCGACTGCACAGCTGGCCCAGGAGCACAAGCAGGGCGGTAAGAAACAGCCGCTTTCTGTACCACAGCACAGTCCCGGAATGAGGTCAGCAGAGCAGAACCCGCGTGTATATAGGCCTTTACAGTATGGAACAGGTCTCCTGTCAATTTAGGGACGCGCGCACACACACACACAATGTAATTAATGTAACTAGACGCCCAGTTCTATGGACTGATGGCCACTGAAACGAGGGACGGACTTCTATGTAAGGGATAATGTACAGGCAGCCGGTAGTTATTGCAGAAATAAGCCCCGACAGTGCGAATATGAATTTGAAACATTTTATTGGCATATTTGTTTTAAAATTAACATTTTTAAACGGTAATCATTGTTGGCGCGAAGGGATTTTAAACATACAAGTAGTACCGGCTATGCGTTATTACTTTGGAGCGGTTATTATTTGAAAAGAACGAACCTGCAAATGTCTCAACTGACCAATCAGAATCAAGCATTCCAGAGAGCCGTGTAATAAGTACCGATGGTGCATACAAAGTAAAACCTTAAAACACAGACTGCAATAACAAGATTACCTAGAAAATTATAAAACAAGGTGCTTCACATCGGCTTTAGTTAAACGCACAGAACTGCCTCTGGTTTAGCACTATTAAAAACATCCCACAAAGTACTGATTGGAGGATACAATTGCCAAATAGCATTAATAGAGCAGCACATTAAAATGCACTTAAGCAACAAAGGACCCCGACACGTGGGGCACAGAAGGATATAAAAATGTCTAAGCCTGCTATGTTCTAACAGAGAGAAGGTGTGTACAGTACAGCCACTCACTCAGCGGCCATTTAAAAATACGACTGTGGTAAAATTAAATAAAATTGACCAACGCATGCATTTTATGACCACATTTCATAAGCCTCACAATGCATGCCAGAAAGATTTTTGAAGTAGAACGTATAAAACATTAAAAATGACCACTTCATGAAAGACAAAAAGACTGAAATTGCAAGCACAGTTGTGGTCACACAAAGGCTAAAGTGATTTTCACTTATCAAACCTGATCGCTGGAAGGGAACTTGGTTGCTAAACGATGTGGATGTAGACTGAATTCAGCTGGGCTGTGTGCCTAAGGACGCTCAGATGATCTCAGGAGAACCTTAGAGGCCTCAAAGATCACAAACCTCACAAACACACGACACAAAAATTGCCACGTATCGACTTGAAAGTCCATGTAGACACACAGGAGGAAAGCTATTTTACAAAGGGAGTGTCCACTAGATAGTGTGCAAGGACTTTGGACTGTTGGCAGGGTTTGCTTTTTTTCCCTTCTTAGTAGAGACTCGTCCAAAGCAATGTACAAGTGAGGCAAATGCCACATCACCTCACTATCGAGGAGATGACAGGCATAGGTGTGGAGTTAAAAGGACAAGGCTGCTTGCTCTGTTAGGTGGAACAAGGCAGTCAGTCTATTTACTGGCCTCCAGGGGGCACCAGTATGCTGTAATTATGACAGCCAATTGAAAAAGAAGTGTTCACACTTGAACGAATAGGGATCCCCATGAAGCCAGCTATCAAAGTCAACACTGCAGTGTCGTTAATGACCACAGTGGTAAAATATGAACAAAGACGGAGGCGAGAGGCACACTGTAGACATGGTCGAGGGGAGCGTCGCACTGCAAAGGTAAACAGAGTGAATATTTCCAAAATAAGCGAAGGTCAGAAGGACAGGACACTGTGGGTTAGAGCAGCAGCAGGCATGCGGACATAAGGGAAGGGTGATTATGTAAGAGCACCCGGTGAATAGAACCAGGGATCATTTTTCCAAGTGCATGAACTAATACGAAGATAATTAACAAAAACCACTAGTTAAGTGCAATTGCCGAGATGGGAGAATCAGTACCAAATACGCTAATCATGGCATAGCAAGAGGGGAAAGAAGCCCTTCGAGGGCAGAGAAGGTCGACCAGACGGGTGATGCTACTGTAACATTATTCTAATGTTATCGTAACCAAAACCAGCTTGTTCACAGGACACTGCAGGGGAGCTGTACAGTCTGCAGCATTCAAACATTACAGGAAGCGACTGAAGCCAGGCCACCAGCAGGGGTCAGCAGAGTAACATTACCTTTCACGTCCTCGTCCTCGATGGTGGTGTTGGCGCTCTCCGAGGACTCCTGGGGAGGGGAGAGGGGAGGAGATAGACAGTCAGGGATCAGTCCATGGCTAGAGGTGTGAGCGAGCAGGGGCCCCGTACTGCTACAGCAGACCCACCGCCTCCCCCCCACCTCTACCCAGGAGGCAGTGTGGTGTGCCCATCTCCAAACCGATGAGACGCTTTCCGCACTCTGCTGGCCAATCACGTCGGGAAAGCGGACACCTGTACATATGCCACTGTGTCAGAGGCGGGCCTGTTAAAGAGGCCCTACAGGCCGCGTTTCACATCCCAGCCCCCGGCTGTTAGACAGTTTCCCACCTGGACTTCATCGCGAAGCTTCAAAGAGCGAAGCGGAGAAATGTTACTATAATCCTGCAGGGATGTTGCTCTGGTAACATTACAGCGGTAACATCACAGCCACTATGAGAATGAAGTTTAACAGGGAGACCAAATCAGCCGTGGGAAGCCAAGGACCTCGAGGACACTTAACACAAACCATCACCACGTGACTGCACCCATCCAAGGAGCAGGTTGGCATATGAAGGCGAGGCTCACTCCGCCAGTGCACACGGCGACTGCGTGTGCGTGTGTGTGTGCACGCACTCAATCGCACTCGCGGTTTCAACTGAACAGATGCTCTCCTAGCACTGACACACACACACAGACACTCATCTCCGAATACCTTGTTTCCATCAGCTGGGTTGTGGATTACGGTAGTTTGAGGTTCCTGACCGGGTGGAGGGAGGGAGAGATAAACAAGGGTGAGACAGAGAACACTATCCAGCAGGCAGAGGAGGGAGGGAGGCCGGCACAGGTGTGGGGGAGAGAGACAGGCATAGGCTGGCAGCAACCAGAGAGCGAGGGAAGGGAAAAGCTTCCTGTCATGACACAGCATGGGCTGTAAACGGGCTGAGTGCGGCGTGGCCACCAGGGGGCGTGGTCACCATGCAGGTTCAGGGAGGTCAGGCAGTGGAGAGCCAGAGCTACAGTATGTCAGTCACATCACAATGAAGCTGGAGGTGATCTCCGATCCAGCCACGTCTATCCGAGGATCTGAACTCAATCTCACAAAAGGCATGCAGACCGGCACAAAAACTAAAGGACACAGGAGTGAGACTAATGGAAGGGCACATCCAGAGAAAGCAGAGAGGCATGCAGGGGGGAGGGGGGGCGTGTACCAGAGCAGGAGTCGGGACAGGCTCTTTGGAGCTGGTTACTACGTTGGCTTTGTTGTTAATCTGCAGGTGTGCACAGAAGAGAAAGAGAAAGACCTTAGAGCTCAGGAACCAGGAGCGAAGAGGGAGCGAGGAGGGAATGAGGAGTTCGCAGGGTTCCCAAAGCTGCAGGAGGAAAGCATTAGTACGACCGAGGCCACGGCACCCCGAGGCACCAGTCTAAGGCTGGGGGGACCTGCAGAGGGACGCCTCAGCCTCATCCCAACAGTCCAGCATGAGGGTCGATCCGGACAGGCCCCGCTGTTGGCGAGGGAGAGCAGGGCAGCCTGGCGTGCCCCACTTCAGACAGAAGTCACAGCATACCTCACACCACTCACCCCAAAGAGTAAAACCCAACCACACAGAGCCAGTGGTTTTGGGAGCGACTCCTCTGAGAAGCCGCCCTCCTCCTCTTCAGGATTTATGTGGCAGTGATACCGTGCCTTTAAAAAAGCTTGTTCCTTCTAACCTGATTAGCTGGTTGTGCCCCAGGACGCGTGTCCCCAGGGGCTGCGTCCCATAGGGAACTTCAAAAATTACCTTCCCAATTAATCAGACCTAATTCACAGCCTACGCACAATGGAACACGTTGTGTGTGCAAAGGCGTGCTTGCAACTCGAGCCAGAGTCTGGACAGCACCGTCTGCAGGGGCCAGGATGCAGTCGTGGATATGGATCGGTACTGGGAGGGACTGAGTGGGACACCTTGCCACAGAGGGTGACACTGGTATGAGCAAAGAGCAGCAAAGAAATCGTGACAGGGGCACCAGCAACGAGGACGGCAAAAATTACTGGGAAAATAGCTTAAGCCGTAAAAGCTGAGGGGTCTCTTACAGATTTGAGAAGATACCAACAGATTTTGATGAGCATCCTTCCTGAAACCTTCCATGTGGGGACTGTAACCCAGCGACAGTAAATAAACAGTAACAAAGGTGAATATTCTGGAAGGGCAACAGGAAAGGAAACCCAGGCCGTCAGTGGCTGCGTGACTGAATCGATCTGCTTGGTTTTGAGAAACTGGGCCACATCCTTGGCGGGGGGTGCTGTTCCATTAAATACTGCTCTGTGCAGTGATTAGGGCTGGCGAGCAGGACAGGGGGGAGGGGTGTTTAATAAAGGCATGTGCACACCTTTACCGGGGAGGGCAGGATGCCAAGGCCCCCAGTGCGGCTAATCACCCCCACCTTTATATTGCCGGCCACGACACAAGAGGGAGGGAGCGAAGCACAGGTGTGGGCAGCCTGTGCCCGGAGTTGCACTGACGTCAGCGCGCAGGCAGGGGGCCCCAGAGGTGTGTGTACGTGTGTGTGTAGCTACGGGAGACCCACCTTCACACCGTCCGGCTTCTTGTTCAGCAGACTCTTGGCTGCTGTGGGGAGAGAGCAGGGGGAGAGGCGGTCAGGTGACGCCCAGGGACCACAAGGTAGTCTGACACTAACGGATGCTACCAAGTTGCCAAGCAGATGCAGGGATGAGATACGTATGCAAAAGGGCAGCAGTGAATGGTCACCCGTGACTGTGAAGAAAGCTGGTATTGGACACACAAGCTAAGGGCAGCAGTGATTGGTCACCCGTGGCAGTGAAGAAAGCTGGTATTGGACACACAAGCTAAGGGCAGCAGTGATTGGTCACCCGTGGCAGTGAAGGAAGCTGGTATTGGACACACAAGCTAAGGGCAGCAGTGATTGGTCACACATGGCAGTAAGGGAAGCTACGATTGGACAGACGAGCTAAGGGCAGCACCAACTGGTCACACGCAGCAGTGATAAAGTGCCACAGCCACCCAGAACAAAACTTAGGGAGCAAAAGGCTGTGAGGGATCAGGAGCAGAGGTGAGCACTGAGTGGTGCCTCCACCCCCCCAAACACCCTGAGCTGTTCACACAAGCAACACAGAGAAGATGAGGCAGTAAGCTTACCTCAAGTGTAAGATGTCCCAAACAAGGGCAAGAGAAAGAGAGAAAAGATACATATAAATAACACTTTGCCATCATACTTCAAACAGAACTGAGGCCTGACAGCAGTGGATTATGGGTACCAGATGATGATTTATGCAACACAGCAAAATGACTGATTATAACCCCTTTACAGGGGGAAGGCAGTACGTTCCCTTATAGCTGAAAGAATAACAGAATGGGAAATGGCAAAAGCCGTAGGAGGTAGAGATACGAGAGCTCTTTAGGCAGGGCTCATCTTAATGACTGCAATTTCATGGAGTAAGAAACGTGAAACATAACAGGGGCTTTTCATTATGCTTCCAAGAACAGAATGAGGAGGAGATGAGGAAAGGGAGGAAAGGAGAGGTGAGAGTACAGAAATGAGGTTTAGTAATCTTACAATAAAGGGCTTAATGCTCAGCTGTTATGTTAATCCAGCTCTATGAATGGTAATTTAAAACTTGGTAGCATTTATTTGTATGCACGTGTAAAATCACAGGGAGGGTAGGAGAGAAATGATGTAGTAAGGGATGGAGCAAAAGAAGGAAGAGGGGAGGAGGTGATGAGGGGAGAATGGAGGAAGAGAGATGGCATGTAAGTAATGAGGGAGAGGAAGAGGCGGGAGGATGGAAAAAAGGAGTGGAAAAAGGGGGAGGACAAGGAGATTGAGCAAAAGGAGGGAGGAGAGGAGGCAAGTGATGAGCAAAAGGAGGGAGAAAGGAGGAATGTAGAGAAAGGAGTGAGAAGGAGGTGAGTGAAGCAAAAGGAGGGAGAGGAGATGAGGGATGCAGAGAAGAGGAGGGAGAGTACAGAAGGCGGTAAGGGACAAAGCAAATGGAGGGAGAGGAGAGAAGGTAGTGAGTGGAGAAAGAAAGGGAGGGATGGAGCAAAAGGAGGAAGGAGAAGGGACAGCAAAAAGGAGTGAGGGGAGAAGGTGATGAGAAAAAGGATGGGAGAGGGCAGAAGGAAATGGTGAGGGATGGAGCAAAAAAGGAATGGAGAAGGGAGGAGGAAGATAAGGTGATGACAAAGGTGGAGGAGGGAAGGAGGTGAGTGATAAGTGAAAGTAGGGAGAGGTGAGGAAGTGAAAGGAGGGAGAGGAGGTGGTGAGGGATGGAGCGAAAGGAAGGAGGAGGGAGGAAGGGAGGGACAGAGCGAAAGGAGGGATAGGAGAGGTGTCTGATTACTGATTTTGGCAAATTTTCTGCCTTGTTCCCAGAGGTTATGATAAACCAGGAACAATTAGAAAAATGCAGCAAAATGGTAGATATGCTAATTTGGTCTGTCCGCTCCTGTCTCAAAATGAAAACGCAGGTTAACATGCTCTGACACTGAACATTTGTTTCAATAACATTTGTGAGAAAAGGAGGAGTGATATCAGAATCATGTGATGTCAGGAGGAGGAGCCTGATTGGCCACATCGCCATTTCTTGGTTATCTGGTGATGAAAGCTGAGCCTAAGGCAGAGCAGCCCCACCTCGCTGCATAAATGTCACTGTGCACGCAGTGCGTCGCGTTAAGTCTGCTGCAGCGAGGAAGGACGTGCTGAAAGACGGCCACCTGAATGTTGCCGTGGCGAGTGTGGGAATGCAATGCACATGCATACAGTCACGAACATGCATGCACACACACAACCCCCAGGTAAGCTGAATGCAGAGATGAAGGTGGCTGCATTTAAATGAAAATCACATTTGGAGTCATTATGCAGCAGGGCTGGACCTGAAAGGCTCCACAAATCATAGGGCTAAAAATAGCCATCCATCCTTCAACATGACGCTGTTCCAAGAACGACTCGCTGTCTTCAAACAAGCGCATAATGCGCTCATGAATTATACATCAGTTCACCCCAAACATCAGATCGCAAACAAGACATTTTAAAAATACAGCCGCCCCCCACAGCCCGCACCCCAGCATGCAGGGAAACACTCTTGTTCTCCCTTAGATGGCTGCCCACCATTGTCGTGGTTAGCAAAGAAAGCACCAGTTCTTCTTGCCAGGTTAAGCATTACCAGCTGAGGTCAGGTGGGCTGGCCATTAAACTCTCCGTTCCCCTATCCTCAAGGCTTCTCTTGCGCCTATCTGATCCGCGACCATGTGAGGCCTGCGGTTGCGTCGAGGGCGAGGAGTTTGATTCCGCGAGACTGACGGGCCCATCTGGAAGCGAGGCTACCCTGTCTGGGGAAAGAGAGCAGCTTGAGACCCACCTGAGAAGTTCCGCGTGGCGAGCATGGTGGTCAGGATGGCACCCTGGGGAGAGAGAGAGCAGGAAATCAGGCGCGACTCAGCTCTGAAGTCCAGCCGGAAGTGAGGCATTAAATGCCGGACACCCCCACCTACCAGGGGTAATGATTATTTCGCAGAGTTGAGTGGTGATGATGGGGGAGGGGGGTTGGCTAAAAGTCTCTGCTCCCATCGACCTACCTTAAGTTTCCTCCTGGCGTTGAACTTCTTCAGACACTCCACAGTCTCCTGCCTGTGCATCATGGAGGCCACAGTGGAGCGTTGCTGGAGAAGCAGAGGGGGAGATGGGGGTTACAAACTGCAGACTAGCGTGGAGAGGTGGAGAGGCCACGCACAGCAAAGCCTTATGGGTACGTACGCAGATCCAGGGGTGCTTCAGGGCCTCGCTGGCTGTGATGCGCTTAACTGGGTTGATGGTCAGCATCTTGTTGATCAAGTCCTTGGCCTCTGGGGTCACGGTGTCCCACTCAGGGGACGGGAACTGCAAAGAAAAAACAGGTCGTCACCCACCGACTACAGACGCCCAGTCTCACCTCGGTCCTTTACGGCCTCAACTGTAACTCGCTAAACCACGATCTGACCGACCACCTTCCCAGAATGAGGCAAAAACCAGTTGGTAAGCCGATGAGCACAGACTAATCCATGCCATAATGTTCACAAATGGTCTTCTGCCACTGGAGGGAGCTGTGGAGCAGGATCCGCTGCTCATTTGAGTCAAGTTAAGCCAGGGCCAAACATCTGTGTCCTCCCACCCCCTGGCCATATCCCCCTCCCCTGAGAGAGGCTGTCAGCACAGAGAATCTGCCATGGACGGGGATTGCACAGTAACAGGAGGGGAATCTCAGTGCGCTTCACATACGATAAAATTTGTAACATACAGCGTACCGCACACCAGGAGAAAACAGTGGAAAACTTCTATAAACACACATCTAGAAAATAAACCATCGAACCATGAAGGACATACAGAATGATTCACCTCCGAACAGGGGAACATGCATTTTAAAGAGACATTTACCCCAAATAAAGTTCACAATGTTTAATTATCACCATTCTTTCTCCCCCTCATATCTCTCTCCATATCCAAAGCAAACAGAACAAAGCAAAATAAATGAGGCTGGATTTCAGCAAGGTTTTTATAACAAATTTTTTTTTGTTTTTTTTTTGGGGGGGGGGGGTTCCATCACCACAGCGACTGGATGAGTCATCTCAGGAGCAGATAAGTGTGCTTCCTTCAACTAGCGCAGGGCTGAGCCTGTGCGCCTGCACGTCAGGGAGGAGACAGCGCCCTCCACAGGAAAATGGCAGCGCAGCAGCATGACAGAACGAGCGGCTGCAGGGAGGTGCCGCAATGCATTCTGGGTTCTTTCCCCAGGTCAATGCACAGGTATAATGTTTGATTAATACACTTCACCCACTAATTAACTGCCTGCCTAATTGAGTTTATCAACCAGAAAGTACTTCCTCAGATACTAATTCGTCCCCTTGGTAATGAGACCCACAAGGACGGTTTAATTAAATCATCCACATCTGCAATACTATTCATTAATAAAATTTAAACATTTTTTATGTTAAACACTTTTTAAATAACGAGCATTATCTCCCATTTTGGAGGTTTGGTCAGCAATATCAACCCATCAAGTGTTGGAGCCCAGCGGCTTATTTGCGTCATAAGGGGACTGACCCAGGATCAGGTGGCCAGCTGTGAGGCACATCTGTCAAGAGCCACCAAGCCCCCATACAGCAAGGGGGGGGGGGGGGGGCACGTAGGGGGGACTGTGAGAGATGTCCGGAGTCACTGTGTGACCAAGGAAAGGTGGACAGTGGCACACGAGGGGGGGACATCCAGAGCAAGGAGTAACCAGAGAAGGGGGGCAAGCAAGGGGGGCTGTGAGGGACATAAAGCAGGATTCCGCAGTGAGCCAGGGGAAGACATACGAGGGGAGGGAAAGGCAAATTATCAGGAGTATGTGAAGGTGAAGGAACACGGCTGAAGATGGGGAGCGGGAAGGAGTCATTATGGGAAGCTAATAACAGCTGAGGCAGAAACGGCAGTGTCACTAAACATGGAGGGGGCACCTCCAGTCTGACAGACCCCCTGCCAAATGGGACTCTGTACAGGACAAGGGGAGCACAGCACCAAAAGGCTTAAAACAATCACATGCAGTCACAGGGCCCCTCTGAGGATGAAGGCTCCCTGGCAGTGGATCCATGTAACTATGGCCAACTCCCATCAACACTGACTACTCCAGCCTCCGTGGGGGGGGGGCACTCACATCGTAGGCTCCAGCCTTGATCTGCTGGTAGAGCCTGTGCTGGTCCTCGTCCCAGAAGGGTGGGTAGCCCACCAATAGGATGTAGAGAATCACACCTGGGGAGATAAAAGAGGCCGATGGAGAGTGGGGCGGCAGGCGGTAACCATGTCAACGGCAGGGGGATTTACCCGCGGTAGCAACCTAGATGTACGGGAAGCCAAGATATGTATTTGGGACAAGCGATATCGGAGCAGAGCACGGTGTCAGGCACGGAAGCGGGCAGGCTGGTGCTTACCGCAGGCCCACATGTCCACAGGCTTCCCATAAGGGTCCTTCCTCAGGACCTCGGGAGACAGGTAACCCGGGGTGCCAGCAAAACCTGCAAGGGAGCGAGTAATCACTGGGACTGAATCTCACACACACACACACACACACACACACAGACACACACACACACACACACACACACACACACACACTTCAGAAGTGTAGATGTCGATACTCACCAAACCAAGCCTGCTGATCCCCCTGGACCTCGATGGCCAGGCCAAAGTCGGCCAGCTTCACCGCTGCCCCCTTCAGTTTGCTGGCTAAAAGCAAATTCTCCGGCTTCGATTCAAAGACAAAAAGAGTTTGGGACAGTGTCAGCGTTCCTCGTCCATAGAGCGCGGCCCTGGAGCCCCGCGTCACATCCAGGGGATGTGCGACTCGCTCCCGGCGAGGGTGTGAGGTCAGGTTTCAGGGGGAGGTCGAGGACATGCGCCATCGGGTGCAGGCACATGCTGGCAGCCGGCCCCGCCCACCTTCCGTGGCTAAAGCTTATGCGTGTTAGTACTTTAAGAATCATTTAGCATTTGGGAGGAACAGATTGTTCCGTGATAAGATTGCATTCTGCTGTGGCTCTAAGGGCATCCAATTAAACGAGCTGTCAGATGGCAGTTTTCTGAATGATTGGTTCAGAGCCCTGTCAGTCACGGTGGGAGGAGTCCAATTATGCATGCTCAATCAAGCTAGAGGAACAAAAAAAAAAAAAAAAAAGAGGCATGTTAAAATGAATAATGTATTTGCTGACATTTCAAAAGCAGTTTCTTTTAGGCCTTTCCATGCATAACTACATGAACCAAGGTCCACTTTGCTTATTTACCATTAAATATTTCCCAGGAAATGTGCAGACCATCACGCTTAATAGCTTAAAAAGCATTTTTTACAAATAGTAACCGCTTTACTTATGCGACAAATACATGTATCCATCACTTTAACAGTGGGAAAAGGACCAAAACAAAAAGTAGAAAATGGAATGAATTTCTCATATGGTAACAAAATACCCAACGTGGTGTCCTTAAGTTATCTGCTCTCGGTGCTGCCCCCGCCTCTGACAGGGTGCCCCCCAGGGCGGGGCTGGACACTGGATACCTCTCGGGAAGCTCTGCACAGGACACCCACCACCCCGAACAGCCAACTAACTCGGGAAAAATTCACAACAGAGACGCTTTTCATAAACTGAGAAAATTCCCCGAAGGAGGGCTCACAGCGGCCCGAACAGGCCAGTCACGGTTACGAAAAGCCACTTTCTGAAGAGCAAATCTCACTGGTGGGAGGCCGGTTTCCGGGAGCCCACCTCGGACCCCCCTGGGCGGCGTGTTAATCCATCACACTGCTGCAGTGACTCACAAACTGCCGCAATTACCCCCAGCGCAATATGCATCTTTTTTTTTTTTTTTAACCAGAGTGACTCAGGCGGTGTGTGAGGTGTGACTGGGGCGCCCATCAGCGTCTGCTCGCGCTGGGACGTGGCGGCCGCCCCCACAACCCGCCGCCCCCACAACCCGCCCCACGCCACAGAGCGACTCAAACCGGCAACACCCGCTGGGACGGGGAGCACTGCCAAAACAAAGAGCTGCTCTGGCTCCCGGCGGCCTGGCTCAGGCCCAGAGCGGCACGCCCTGGAGACAAGGGGCAAACAGCGCCCCCTGTCCACTGAACAGAGCACAGCACCATGCCCTGGCAGACCAGCATTACATCCTTGGTTTGATCACTAAACTAACACTCCATGCACACGGAGAGCATTAGGGCTTGATGTGTAGAGGTGGCATCATCAGCACACCTGGAGACCCTGCCAGAAATACTCCACCCCCCCTTTTTAAAAATCTGCTCTTTTTGGCAAGGGTTTGCTTTCTCTTTGCAAGTCGCCATGACAACAGAGGGATCCCCACCCAACAGAGCGCAGGTACAGATGCAAAGCGCCTGCCTGTTGCTCGCTGCTACTGGGCCGGCCTCATTTGGATGGCAAATGCGGGAGCAGGGCTGCGGGAACAGGGCTGCGAGGGCACTATGCGGGGCTGCGCGGGGCTGCGTGGGTGCTGCCGGCAGAGTGCCACGTTGGCAGAAGCCGGCTCGCATTACATCAGCGTGTGGAGGCGTGACGGTGCGTCCGGCCGGCCGGCCATCTGACCACGAATCCCGGGCGTCTGCTCAGCACTCTGCTGGGCCTCCTCCCAAGTGCAGATACACAGCGCTCAGGCTCAGGCTCGTGCTCGTGCTCCGAGCCATACATCCAGGCTCGTGCTAAACCCAACAGGCTATCAGTGCCCTAACAGCCAGGGTCCAGCGAGAACGGAGCCCAGCATAAGCAGCCCCATACCCCACAAATACAGAGCGGCAGAGGTTCTACTGCGGTTCCTGTGTGGTTCTTACCTTCAGGTCCCGGTGGACCACGCCCATCTGGTGACAGTGGAGCACGGCCTCAAGGATCTGCTGAATGCAATGACTGCATGCAAACACCAGGGGGCGCGTGTTAGTGACAAGCTCACACTCACTCTGTGCATCCTCATTGAGACCGGGGGGTGCTGCAGGGGGCACTATGCCGATGGCAGGTGACCTGGTGGCCCATTTGGTTGGGGGGGGGGGGGGGTTGCTAGTTGGGAATACCATCTTCCCTTGCTCTCCAGTAGAAGTCTCCATATTAGTGAGCTTTCTGCTGGTTTAGCACCAAACCTCGGCTTATAGAGCTGCACTGATAACTGCTGACTGGTTAATTGGGGGGGGGGGGGGCATCCTGTCCGATCACACTAAAGCTGTATAGGGTGTGCCAGTTACCATGCCAATACCAGCACCCGCCCCCGGTCTCAAAACAGAAGTGGTGTTCAGTCCAGGAGCGGCAGCGAGCTCGGCCCGTGGGGGTAGGCGGTGGGGGAGCTGGGCGAGGAAGGCAGCTCCAGGGGGTGTTACATGTTCTAAGCCCCTCCTCTGCCTCAAAACCGCCTCCCACCCACGGCACCCGAAACCCCACCCCTGGAGACCGCTCTCGCATCAGGCGGACCGGCTGGATGTCACATGCATGTCACCTGGGCTACAAAGAGGGAGGGAGAGGTGAAGACACTCCCCCCACCCTCTCTGGGGCAAACCGCTGAGCCCCTGGCTGAGTGGGGTGGTGCGGGGGGGTGGGGTGGGGTAGGTGAGTGGGTGTTAATCAGATCTATGCATGTATACTGACCTTCAGGTCCCTGTGTACTATGCCATTTAGGTGACAATGATTAACACTTTCTAGTATCTGCTGAATACAGTGACTGGAAGAGACAGAGCGAGAGGCAGGGGAGAGAACAATTCAGAGGTACAGCAGAAACAAACGAATGTACGGGCGGGCGGAAAAACAAACAAAAAACACACACAAGATCCAGATTCAACAGCAGCTGGAATACAGTGAGTGGGAGAGACAGAGCGAAGCAGGGGAGGGAGAGAGAGAGAGAACAATTCAGGTACAGCAAAGATGGAGAAATATACACAAAACACAGGTGCCAAATTCATCCAGGGAGCCTCAAACAGAGCTTTAACAGGGCAGACGATTCCATTCAGTAACAGCAGACTGGTGGAAAAAACAAGGATGGGTATCGCTACGGTTATCCTGCAGAGATCATACGGCAGAGGAGGTGCATCCTAACGACAGGCTGCGGCCGGCTGAGGGCCACCTGCCACTCCGCCCCTATTTCATGCTGCTGCACCAACACGCCGCACCTGGACGGCCGTCATCATGAGAGCACAGAACCACATGGGCGCTTGCCAGTTACAGTGTACCCCGTCGGCCTGCCTGGATCTGCAGGGCACGGATACGCTACACACAGTGGTCACTGGCTACTCCGTCACATCAGCGGGGGCAGAGACGACTGACCCGGTCAAGCACTGCCCCGTACTGGCAGCACAGCCGGGCTCCTGTGAGTGGTGTCCCAATTACAGCATCCAGGGTCTGCGAGTGCCCCCGAAAGCAGACAGGAGAACAAGGAATACCTAAAGCAAAGATGCTAGCGGATTCACTTAAATCTGACAAAGGTAAACTTAAAAAATATCTGCACCTTCATAATGGCTTCATTATGCATCCATAAAACATTTATAAGCAGCATGTGATCATCCTAACATACCTTAACAGATTTATTGTACATCAATAGTAAAACATATAATGCTTATTAATGTATATAAAGTTACGATACTCACATGCTGCTTATAAAAGTTGTATGAATGCATAATTAACTACACCTTCATAATGTATTCATATAAAGTGTTACCAAATATTCTATAGGGTAACACTTTACATTAACTGCACCTTCATAATGTTTTTACATTGCATTCATAAAACGTTAAGTACCCCTTCATAATGTATTCATTAAGTATTCATAAAACATTCATAAACATCGTTTATGCATACCTTACCAACCTAACATCCCTTAACAGCTTTAAATATACATTAATAACAAACATTACATGATTATATAATTATGTTTGTTATTATTATTATATAATGTTTTTTATTAATGTATATTATAGCTGTTAAGGGATGTTAGGATGTTAAGGTGTACTTGCATGCTGCTTATGAATGTTCTATGAATGCATTATGAAGGTGCACTTAATGTAAAGCGTTACATTTATAGAAACTGATTTAGGAATTAAAGACTGCAAGAGTGAGGTGGGAAAGTTACTCTACAGTTATAAGTATGTAAGATTAGCTGCTTTGAAACAAGAGGAGGACGTGTAAATAATGGTTTTACGGCAAGCATTAGGTGATCTGTCCAAGGGACACTTACTGCATATTGTAAAAGTAAACCTCTGCTCTGGGTCTTATATGTCAGAGAGAAGCTGGAGGGAGCTATTTTTAGCAGCTCAGACATTACTCTGGGTTCCACAAACAAAAGCCAACCGCAGTCACGATACCTTCCGAATACCCATCACTGTTACAACAGAAGCCAAAAAGGTACAGTTCAAAATGTACGGCTCCAAAAACATTAAACGCAGAAAGCAACAAGCAGGGTGACAGACATTAGTAACCATCTGAAGATCAGAAAGCAGAGAACAGAGAGCAGATTAAAAGCGTTCCAGAAAGTCACGTGCGTCAGACTTGCGGATGAACATTCAATGAGCTCTCAACAAACAAGATAATATATTACACAGAATATTACAGATGTGGCCCATCTGTGAGAAGCTGGCTGGAATTTAACACTGCTACCTGTGCCCTAACCTAGTGCTGCGTGAGTCATAGGTTTATCCTCTGTACCCCTCGATATTGTAACTGTTCACACGCATCACCAAGCTTGTGGAGATACTGAGCTTCTGCTAGGCTGGGTGTCTTTCTAGCATTGGGGCTAAAGGAACACCTGGAAAGTCTACAGAAACATTTAGGGGCAAGTACTGCGGTCTCGGGGGGGAGCAGGCCACAGCCAGCACACCTCCATGGACTTTGTTAGGGGCTGAAATTAGCATATCCAAAACACAGAAGGACGCTGCAGGGGAAACTGCGGGCCCAAAGCAGAGTGGTACCGACCTGGCGTCTGCTTCGCTGTAGTACTCCCGGGCCACAATGTCCTCGAACAGCTCCCCTCCAGTGACCCTGGGACAGGAGACGGAAGGAGCACATTTACCCTGGGCCACAAACATCAAAAACTACATAGAATGCCACTGAAGCTCTTCAGGAGAGGGACAACTGGCACTCATACTTCATTGACTCGATGACACATGGCTGGAAACGATCTGGCTAAGTACAACAGTTATGCTGGTAACCCATGACTCAAAACTTACACAATACAAACATCAGCTGGGGAAACACATTTGACAACCAAGAAAAACAAGCCCAGGAGAAGGTTTATGTCCAACTACCAGGAGCCCTTGAAGGCCACAGCATTCCCCTCCAGCACATCCAGAGACATGGCTGTTACCATGGCCTACAGCAACCCTTATTATTCTTGGAGAGACCCAGGAATGGAAAGGAAAAGAAAAAAAAAAGTCTAGTTATTTTAGTCCAGGCTTAAGTGCTGCCATTAGCTAACAGTTAGCCTCTGTTGATAGCACTACAATCGAGCATCTGTGGGGGATAACAGCCCTCTCCTCAGGGCCGCTGCAGACTGAGTCAGTGCTACCTGGCCAGTACTCTGGGTTTCTGCAAACAAACATTGCCATTTAAGTGGCCAACTCTGCAGTGACTCACTCAGCCTACCTGTTCTGACAGCACATCCATCTATACCTCATAAGCAGCATATTTATAGAAGGATGTCGTCCTACCTAATGAATGACAGAGGGCCTGGCAGCTATTTTAGCTGGAGTTCCACATGACTCAGTCCTCGGTCCAGTTATTATGCATTCACCCGCAAGATAGGGAACACATGACATTATCCCATCTACTAAAGCACAGAGCTGTACAACTCAGGCCAGCGCAGCCATTCCCAGACACAGATTTCAGCTCCAATATTCCAACTGAATATACTGAATTGAGCAACATGTTAAGCTACAGAGCCACAAGATAAAAACAGGCTATTTTTATCTGCTGATCACAGGGGAAAGCTTGATTTACAGACCGGCTTTGCCCATTTTCTCTATCAGAATTATTCCTGGTGGCTTTATGTGGGTGAATGAAGCAAAAGCTTCCCGATTTGCCTTGGGGGGGGTTGAAGACAGCATGATATTAAAGGCTGTGATTAAAATAAATTGGACCTGATGTCTATTCCAACAGCAAAGCAAGAGACACGCTGGAATTAAGCCCTGTGCTCAGGGAGGTGAAAGGGAGACACTGAGGCAGATTCTTTTTTAAGCAATATCGATCTCTGCATGGCATAGCAGCCGAAAGTCTTCCCAAAACTGCAGTCACACTATCGGCTGAGGCTGCCAGCCAGAACCCCAAAGGAAACCACATACCGACAGATAATTTTGGAAGAAGCAGAGAGTGAGTGCAAAACTAGAGAGCTTTGTTTAATGTAACCTGAAATGTCATTGTATGGTTACTAATGAAACACTCCTTAGTCACTGGCAGCATTCCCATTACCAGAGTGACAGTGATGGGGGCCAATGAGGAGAGACCAGCACACGATCAAGGCAAGGAGACGTTTGGGGGAGAGCCAGATAGGGAGACCTAGAATCTGTTACCACCAGAGTACAGCTTAAAATGCTGGGGAAGGGGGCCTGCGGCTTGTTTCAGACCACCAGAAGATGAGGTTGCGGGAGGGGCAGAGACCTGTAGTTTTGCTGTGCACTTTGGAGCCTTCAAACCAGACCAGGTGCATCTCACAGGCTGAATGACATAATCAAAAATGGCAGGCGGCCAGCCATGACCATCATTAAACCTTAATTACAAAGAAACAGAAAAAGACTGATCAGGTTATCAGCACACAAATTCGTTACCAGGTAGAGAAGCCTCGCTTGTTGGCAAACTGACAGATTGCGTACGAGAGGTCGCCAACTACGCACGTGTCATCGAAATGCATTTTAATTTATTCATGGAGCAGGTGGTGAGACTGGAGCGACGGGGAGGAGGGGGGCGGGAGGTTTCCCTGCGACAAGTGGGCATCACATCTGCTGCAGAGCCTAGACAGTCCCACACGGCACACCGCTGCGAATCGGCACATTACCACCTTACCGCAATATCAGGTGCTTCGTTTACTATCACTAAGCCCCTTTTGCTGGCAGAAACAGTCGTGGGACACCTTCAGAGATGAGGATGAGGACTCACTGAAGCTGGCCATCGTTCTTCATCATTCTTCTCCATCACAGGGAGCGGGAGATTGACATCACCCTTTTACTACTACTATTTACATTTATTGGGCAATTCATGTGAAACCATGTTCAAGGATACGGCTGAAGGAGGGCTCCTGGGACTCAAACCAGTGAGTCGCGATCAAACAGCCCGCAAGGGTCTGAACTCAGATGGGTTCATCCTCTAGTTACCAGGCTCTGAATGAAGGAGCAGCTGAATGGCATCAACAAGTATTTCCTGCCAAATGCGTCCAGAAGTCACGGCCCGTCCCGTTTCGCCACTTCCATTGTGTTTCATGCGGGGTTAAACAACCTGCAGCACGGCCAGCTTCCTGTGACCCGGCTCTGGGGGTATTAAATGGACGAGCTACACTAAGCATGGGAAAATGATTAGAGCTGTTTATCCGTGACGTGCCTCCTCACTTCCCACAATTCATGGCCTCCAAGCGCCGGCGGTTGGAGTGCGGCCAGGAGCGTCCCGCAGGCCTTCCCACAGGATGGACACGCTCGGGTTTCACCTTAACACCGGGTTTCACCTTAACGCACAGAGCCAGCAGCCGTCTGACAGCCTCGCCCCAGCTCCAGCCGGGGCCGACTGCCGAGAAGCCCTGCTCACAAACACCACCGTGTTTACTGAGCTCACCCTCATCTCGCCACAGCAGTACTTTGGCATTGCTATGACATTACACAGGGTTACATTATGTAAATTTGTAAAAGTTCTCATGACAGATTACTATATCCATTTATATTTTTACTACAAAAACTATTAAATAAATGATATTATCGAATACCTAACACAAACCAGTGGGTAAAGATGAAAAGGTGCTTGATGAAAAAGATTAGACAATATATTGTATTACATTTTATATGTACAGTAAAATGCTGTTATAGCTGATATTCCATTATCAGCGACTCCATTATAACGGACGAGGTCCGCTGGTCCTGGCATGCGGAAAAAGCATTGGGTATAGCGGACTCGCATATAACGGACAAACAATTTGGTAGGACTGCTTTTAGCTGTAGTTTTGTTTGGCTATAACGGACATGCAGCTCCGCCTGCAAGGCGCTTGGCATGCTGGTGATATCGTGATACGTAGTCGGGATTATTAATAGTCACGCATCTGGTCAGGTAAAGTTGGATTAGTACATGTACAAAATAATGATCTATACCACAAGTGTGTCGTCTGAGGTGTGGCATGAGTAAATGGTGTCCTGTTGTTGTGTTCTGGGCATACAGCAACTCTGGATATAACGGACTGTTTTGCCAGGTCCCTTGAAGTCCATTATAATGGGATTTTACTGTGTGTGTGGGGTGTGTGTGTAGAGAGAGAAAAAAGAAACCCAGATACTTACAAGTCGAAGACTAGATAGTGGAATCCCTCCTCTGATATACTGTCATGGAGTCTCACTGCGGCAAAGGAGAAGGGAGACGGTTAGAGGCGAGGCGGCCGACGGCGGAGGGGGGGATCCTGCTTATAACACTGCCTGACCTCCATTACTGACTGCGGGGGAAGGGCAGTCGGGGGGAGTTACAGTTACATGCACACAGTCTAATAGGATTAAATTAAAAAGAGTAGGAAATGGGCAATGCAGATATGAGTGTGACCTCTTGGACACGGCCATTTCACAAGGAGGGTGTGATTACACGGGGGGGGGATTGACTGACAGGCAGGAAGTCGGGACACCCTGACAGGGCCGTGCTCACAGCTGGCCTTCACGCTCGCCAACCTCGCCTCATACGAGCCGCTAACACCGCGCCTGTTCCCAGATTAACGTCTCACTTTACGCCCATCAAACGGCCACATGAATAATACATATGCAGGACCGCCACCCATGTCCACGGCCGCTGACGGAGGTGCCGGCCCCCACCGACCCGCCTCGGTCTGCCTCGCGCCCGCATCACACATCAGACGCCGTCGACCCGCAGAGCTAATGTTAAACGCGTTTTTAATAAAAGATTCACTGAAGCCGACACTGGATGACAGAGTTCTGTTTTCACGGGATGAGAAGGTGTGACGGGGTAGAGAGTGAATTCCCTCCACAGGATTCCCCCTCCATCTTCAGCAGCACTGTGACAGACAGCTGCTGAAGCTACCATAGCAACCTTAAAGCAGTAGGAACCGGCCCCACCGCAGACACACAAACACGAAGGATAGAATACTTAATTAACGGCGGGCTCAGACTCCCCCAGAAAGAGGCAGGAGGGACACTGTGACCACACTTCCAGAACATACCACAAACATCTGAAACATGTTCGTCTTCTGGAGGAAGTGAAATGTGTTATTTTCATTTTGCTACAGATGAAAACAAGTACCCACACTGACAAAAAGCACACTCCACAGGGGGAGGGGGATTGATGGTCACAGTTCAGTGCATGAAGACAGAGGAGAACTGTATCAGGAGAGCAGCATGGAGGACCCTCTCTGACCCTTGACTTGAGAGGAAGACGATGGATTTTGAGCTTCAGCTCCTGTCCTGGCAGCAGACTCAACAAAGGGCTTCTGAGAGCAACAGAATGGGCCACATTGGGGAGCAGTGCAGAGGGCATCTGCTGGCCTTAGGGGGGCGCAAGAGCACAACAGAGGGGCCGGAAGGCTAAATGGCAAAAGGGACAAGGCAGCCAGGCCTGGCATTGCCAAGCAAAACGCACCAACGCAAATCACACAATCGACCCTTTTCACGAAACAGTGGTAGGCAGCTTTGATCATTTGTGAAACAGAACACAATTTTTTTTAATCAGGACTAGTTAAGAACTACAAAGCAGTAATCAGTCATACACTGGAAAAACTGCAAATAAAGAAAAGTCACTATTTTCCCATGATCAGTGTGGTCTAATCAAGGAAACTGCAGCAAGAAATCAGGTTCGACCAATTGCGTTAATTAGCATCTTTAGAATTTAAATGACTCAATCAAGAGCTTGATCAAGCCTAATTAAGAGCAGCTAGTCAGAAAACCAGCGACGCGGAGGAGCAGGGCTTGGATTCTACTCTGCTCAAGTCCAGCTCAGCCCCAGCCTCCAATCAGGCTCGTTCTGCTGGATATCCATCCAATCAACAGGAGCCCTGGACAAATGGGGGCGGGGCAGGGTGGGCCTGGGGGGGCTCTGCAAATTAGAGGCTGGCTGAAACCTGGTGGCATGCCACGGTAAACGTGTCCGCGGCCTGTGAAATCGCTCAGAGAAAGGTACATGTGTTCATTCATTAATCTGATCCTTCCATGCAGCACCCATATCGGTAACAGTACGCCATGCGTGAAATGGCTTTTAGCGCCGCAGCAGACAGCGAGAACCACGCAACGGATCCCACGATGGGGGCGCGCTGCAAAGGAAGACACGCTGGGACAAGCCACCCACAGCTTAGGTATGCACCTTTGGGTGTCTGTCAGAATGCGCTTGGGAGATAAGGAGCTGTCGTCACGTCATGCCCGGCAGGGGGGGGGAGCAGTCATTTACATTGCAAAGCAGCCCACACCCCCTCAGCCGGGGAGATATCAGAGCTTCTACTGGGCACGTGCAGCTCTGGCTGGGTACCAGGAACACAAGCTCCTTGTCTGGCATCACACCCAGGGCTGAAATAATACTCCATTTAACATCACTTTTCATTATTGCTATAAATATATACTAATCATTATGCTTGGTCCTCCACAACTGTAGGGTGCGCCAACTCAACATCAGCAAAACCAGATTTAGCTGTAGGCCATGGTGGCGCTACACTGGCTTGTTAAGTGGCCTAGGGTGACAGGGACCCGGAGGTACGGGGCTTACCAATGTTGGGGTGTTTGAGGAGGCGGCAGATGCGGGCCTCGCGCTCCAGCTTCTGGTGATCTGCAGGGAGACAGCAGACATGCGACGTGTTAGATGTCATACGACACCCGGAGAAGCCGACTAGCCCGACGTAGGGCCTCAGTGTTCACAGCATTAAAGCGGCATTGTTACTTCATAAGAGCAGTTACCTGATGTTAGCATCTCTTAACCACTTCCATAAAGGTTCTGCTACACCACACCACAAATGTACATCTACCCTCCACCTTCCCCAGTGACAACCGTAGGTGTAGGTGTGGGCGATCACCAAAAAGTCCTGTCACCATCTTTAACACACAATGACAATCCAGTCAATTATGATCCCTTCCCAAATTTGAAATTAACTGTCAAGAATACCCAGACCTGAATGAGCCTAAAATCTTCTGTAAGCACCATTTAAAAACACAAAATTGCATGACAGTTTTCAAAATGGTAAATTAAATCCCGAGTTAAACTTTATTTCAAAGTTGGTGAACGCTTCCTTTACTGTGGTTTAATAGATTTGTGGCATTACCTCCGGAAGTGCAGACCGTGGCCCGACAAATGCAGTTAACTCAGGTCATTCCCAGCTTCCAGTTCTGAGGTAATGGAACACAGCAGTAACTGCTCTGTGAAATATCTGGCTGTGCATGCCCGATTTGTGCCTTATGCATGTGCAACATTATACTTTATGAAATTTTACAAATGTGGCCAATTTGTACCACTTCGTTTCACAACATTTTCACGACCCGAATCCCATTATTTTTCACTGCATCATTTTAGGGACTATTTGCAAGCATTCTCCACCATCCCAGAATGGGATATTAAGCCAGATACTCCAAATTTGGATTCTTTGTGTTCTTGGGCTGTTTGATAAAAGTTCTACACAGCACCTGCACTTGTGTCTGAGTGCATGTTTATGGGTCTCATTAGGTACCTCAGTCACGGTGGGGTGACCATAAATATCCCATGTTCAGTTCAGAGGGAACCAAAGTTATAAGCATACCAAAATACCACATCACTGGGTAGCAGCAATTTCAACTGATGGACATATATGCTAATATTTCAGATATGGGATACATGGGTAATAGTGTTGATCCAAAAACTGTAAATTGACAAATCAGAATGAACACTTCAAATGACAAGCAAACAGATTTTCTTCAGGTCAGCAGAATCATAACCAGGTCTCCATAAACAAAGCAACCCCTCTAGGTTTGCCGTTAATATAGACAATATAATTTGCCATAAAATGGCAGAACGAACAGATCGGGCAGTGTCAAAAAACATAATCCAGTGCAGACATGCGAGGTACAAAATCGGGCAGGTAGTACAGATCAGGTAAATCCGTGGTACATTCACAAACCATGGCATGGCAGGTGAAGTATGATACTGTACCAATCCGGTACAATGTGTGTTTTTACTGAGAGAAAAAAAAAAAAATGGCAAGATGCAACTAGGGGACAGACAGCCTCAAAAAAGCCCAGCCACTCCTCCAGCACCATCAGCTCCAGGCATCTCGCCTGAGGATCCAGGAACACATGATATCCAGACAGGAGTCACACTCGCATGAGTCACTCTCCACTGGACCCTCTGCACCGTAGGGGACACAGACCTGCCGCAGAACTACTGACACTCACTACTCAGTGTCCACTGTATGTAACAGGAGGGGAGTGGGAGACACACAGACACAGACACACACACGCTCCCGGCATGAGGACCGTCCCTAGCAGGACCGTGCCACGTTAGCTAGATGCTGGCAGTGAGCCAAGCTCCAAAGGGCGACGCGTGACGCACCCAGAGCGCATCTGAATATTTCATTTGCCCGGGGCGCATCGCCAGGCCCTCTTATGAGAGCCAGAGGCCGGGAGCCGGGCCCAGAAAGGTCAGGCGAGTGTGGGATGGCATGAATAAACCATGAAGGAAGACACCTGCCCCCCTCCCACCACCCCCCACTATGCGCGTTTGGCAGTGGCCAGGGTTTGTAGAGCTCTGAGGATGGCAGCTTAATTACACACATGGGGGGTGGGGGTGTTTGACCAGGTGTGTTAAGGGAAACTCAGCCCTTCCTGGGCAGGACGCAAAATTAATACCTCGGTCTATGCATGTTAGGGAGGACGAGTAGGTGATCACGTGACTGTATCCAACTTCCCCCCAGGACAAAGCTCCCCCATCTCTCATTCAGACCCACAGATCTAAAGGTTGCTGGTCCTAAAGCTATAGTATTACAGGCGGAGCTCTGTGATAAACACCAATTACCTGAACAGGGTAAAGCTCACCCTGGTCCTGGGGACACTGCAGGCCACCCATGACAGAGGGCTGCTTGGGAGAGCAAACGCATCACAACGCAGCAGAAAATTCAGAGCAGAGCCCTTAATGCCCCTTTAGCTGAAGGCAGGTTAACACCACAGAAATGACACAGAGCTACATTCAGACCAATACAATGCAATCTGGAGCTCAATTACAGAGGGAAGTTTAATAATCAGGGGCCACACATGCCAAAGCCTCCTTTGGGGGATACGGATGATTAATCCCTGATGAATCTCTTGGTCTTTTACATAAATTGCAATAGTGAAACTGAAGAAATTTCAAATACCTCTACTTATGCTCTGGTCACAATTTCTCATTTTATTCCAAAATTCATTTTCTAAATGACAAAATTGAATGATGCCATTTATTCACTCCAACAGCTGAGGCTGGGATAATGAGCCGACAGCCGAGGGCAGCGTCGTGCAGCTCTGACCGGGTACCAAAGAGGACAGAGCCCCGCGATTCTGGGACTGCTGCTAGACGCAGTGTATGGGAAGCTCTTACACCCATTGGATTAAATCTTTTTGGGGGGGGGGGGGGCATTGTGCTATGCTGTGATGGGAGGACAGTGGTCATCAGAATTTCCATAAACATGTCCCTCATTTCCATGATCTCACAGCATTTACCTCTTCAGCTCCAGTCTCCCTCCCATGTCCGTGTCACGTCAGTACCGAGAATCATGACCTGAGCAGCCAGCTAATATTCCCGCAAGACACCTGTGAATGCCTGCGCCGTTCCCGTGACGCATGCCCGGTGCCCTCCTGACATCAAGCCACCCCCCCCCCAGTGCCCTGCCCCCTCCCCGAAACCAGGAGAAACTTCAGAGCTCCTCCACGCAGGTCTGAGGGCACATCACCATTTCCACCACGCTATGATATTCGAGGAGGACACTGGCGCTGGGTAGGGTTCCCCTAAAGTGGCTGACGCATATGACAGACGCCGGTTACAGCCTGTGTACGCCAGATGCCTCGGAAGCACAGCCTTACCTATCCTCCGAAATGTCATTACTGCACCGCGCCAGGTAACCGACCAGCCGGAAACCACAACCACGCTGACCGCGGCGCAGCAGAGTGGGTCTGCAAGCCAAGGCAGGTACACTGGCGGCTACAGCCTCACAGGCTCAGCGTGAACACGCCGCTCATTTAACTTCCCGATAAGAATGGAGAACAGATTTTTCTGGACCTTTCTGGAAGTTTCCGGTCTTTTCATTTTAGGACTCCAGAGACCTTATGATTTAATATGGCACTGACCCATTTCGACACAGCCCCTAATGAGAAACATAATGCTTTGAGATTTTAAAATGGGGCGGCTATTTTAAATGACATCTTCCCCATGTCAGACTTGAAATGTAGATCAAGTTGTACCTTCATGTTGATTCTGTTTTCAAGTGACTGAAGAAGGAACCCAGCAATTTGTGGTCTACACTGCCACGCTAGTCCTCCATCTTCAGTCTCTTGTGGACATCCATCCATCCATAATAACTACTCAACCGCGGCTGAGGTGATTAGAGCCACAATGGGGACAGTTGCATTTGGGATACGAGTCCCCACTCAGCAGATGGAGCACTTACAGGGAACCCACAAAAACGAGGAGGCCACTGCACAGCCTTACAGCACTCCTGAACCTTTGACCCCATACCACACAGCAAGTTACATACCAAACAATAGTGAAAGTGAAAACCCACCACGAACAATAAGGAAGAGAGTAAAACACTGTAAAGCGAAAGGTGGGGGACAGTGAGCTTTATACATTTGCTTGTGAGCGAGCATGTGTGGGGGTGGTGGGTGTCGTTCACAAGGAGAAGTGCTTGGGACACGGTCAGCAGCTTGGCAGAATCACTTCCCCCCCCCAACGTCTCCAATTTGAAGAAACCAATTACTTCTGAGAACCTCACTGCACACTTAAAAAAAAAAGAAAACCTCATGCAAAGAGCAGGAAGCACCCTCCACTGGATTTAACCACCACCATGAGAAAGTGAGGACCCCATTGCAGTTGCCCAAGCAGGTCACCTAATAAACCTTTAAAGCAGTTTGCAAAGAGAGTTTCTCCCCATAAACACCAAGCCCCCCCCCCCCCCCCCTCGGTCATTTTTGTCTGACTTTCTCTCCCTTCCAGCAAGTGTCAAAGATTCAATCTCAACCCTTGCTGACAGATAACCCAACCAAAGTGCTTTAAAACAAAGTGCAAAAAGGACCCTAAACGGAGAACATCCTGTATTCGCTGGGCCTGCAAGTGTGCTACATTTATGAGGAGACAGACCTTCATCAAGCTAAAGCTTAGGTGTAACTGAACGAGGAACATGTAACAATATGGAGATGAACACCAGGGAGGAGCCGCATTCTGTAACCTGCACTGGAAAAGGCCATCAAAAGAGCAATGAGGACGGCACCCTCCGAGGGGCGCTGAATTGCATGGCAGACCTGGGGTTTTGCATAGAATTTGCAAAAAACAAAACCGACAGTGGGCCTACGGAACCGAGACACGGTGGATGAGCAGCGGCCACCCTGTTAAAGGTCGTCACACAGCCCACGGCCTCGGGCCACACACACACGCACAGTATGCAGGCCTCACAGGTGTGCGAACACCGAGGCAGCCCCCAGCAAACCAGCAGGAGCAGGTCCCCAGGCCTTCAGAGAAGACAAAGCAAGTGAGACATCAAGAAACAGCAATCCCATAAGGCCGAGCGCTCCGGTACTCAGGCCAGCAGAAGTGAATGATGGGAGGGGCACACCTCACAG